ACCGTGGGGCTCTCGAAGCCTTCGTAGAGCAGGGAAGGTTTGCGGATTCGTTTGCCGGGAGCTGAGTCGGTGGCCAGAGCCATCAGGGTGGGGTTGGCCTCGCCCAAAATCCTAAAAAAAAGTAGAAAAAGGCATGGAAAGGGTTAAAAAAAAATTCGTGGAAAAATCCCCAAAATTGTCGCTGAAATCGCGGTGGAAATCGCTCAAAAATCGGCTCCGAAATCGGCTCTGAAATGGGGAAAATGTGTGGAAAGGGTTAGAAAAAATGGGTAGAAGATGTTAAAAAAAATTCCTGGAAACAGCATGAAAATCCTGGGGAAAAATGGTGGAAAGGGTTAAAAAATATTGGTGGAAAAATCCCCAAAATTGTGGCTGAAATCGCGGCGGAAATCGCTCAAAAATCGGCTCCGAAATGGGGGAAAATGTGTGGAAAGGGTTAAAAAAAAATCCTGGAAAAATCCCCAAAATTGTGGCAGAAATCGATCCAAAATCGGTTCTGAAATCGGAAAATTTCGCCCCAAAATCGTGAAATTCATGGAATTTTTGGCGCAGAAAACAGCTCTGAAATCCGCAAATTTCACCCCAAAAATCGCGATATTTTCTGCGTCAATTTATGGGAATTTTGGCCAAAAAATCCCAGGAATTTCAGCCAAAAATCCCTGAAAATTTGGGCAAAAATTCCGAGAATTTCGGCCAAAAAATCCCAGCAATTTCACGTAAAAATCTCGGGAATTTCGGCCAAAAAATCCCAGTAATTTCAGCAAAAAAACCCCAGGAATTTCAGGTCAAAATCCCGAGAATTTCGGCCAAAAAATCCCAGGAATTTCAGGTAAAAATCCCGAGAATTTTGGCCAAAAAAATCCCAGGAATTTCATGTAAAAATCCCGAGAATTTTGGCCAAAAAATCCCAGGAATTTCAGGTTAAAACCCCGGGAATTTTGGGCAGGAAAAGCGGGGAATTGGGGCAGGGACGGCACCGAAGGCACCGTGGGGCTCTCGAAGCCTTCGTAGAGCAGGGAAGGTTTGCGGATTCGTTTGCCGGGAGCTGAGTCGGTGGCCAGAGCCATCAGGGTGGGGTTTCCTTCCCCTAAAATCCTAAAAAAAAATCATAGAAATGGTTAAAAAAAAAATCGTGGAAAAATCCCCAAAATTGGCGCTGAAATCGCGGCGGAAATCGCTCAAAAATCGGCTCCGAAATGGGGAAAATGTGTGGAAAGGGTTAAAAAAAATGGTGGAAAAATCCCCAAAATCGTCACTGAAATCGCTCAAAAATCGGCTCTGAAATCTACAAATTTTGCCCCAAAAATCGTGAATTTCCTGGAATTTTTTGTGTAGAAAACGGCTCTGAAATCGAGAAATTTCGCCCCAAAAATTACGATTTTGTGGGAATTTAGACAAGAAATCCTGAGAATTTCCGCCAAAAATCCCTGAAAATTTGGGCAAAAATTCTGAGAATTTCGGCCAAAAAAATCCCAGGAATTTCAGGTAAAAATCCCAAAAATTTTGGCCAAAAAATCCCGAAAATTTTGGCCAAAGAATCCCAGGAATTTCGACCAAAAAATCCCAGGAATTTCAGCCAAAAAAACCCCAGGAATTTCAGGTCAAAATCCCGAGAATTTCGACCAAAAAATCCCAGGAATTTCGACCAAAAAAATCCCAGGAATTTCGACCAAAAAATCCCAGGAATTTCAGCCAAAAATCCCTGAAAATTTTGGCCAAAAAATCCCAGAAATTTCAGGTCAAAAAAGCCGGGAATTTTGGGCAGGAAAAGTGGGATTTTCAGGACAAAAATCCCAAAATTTTGGAGAATTCAGGATTTGGGGACTCCAAGGACACAAACCCCAAAAATTTGGGATCTTCAGGACACCAATCCTAAAAATTTGGCAATTACAAGGACAAAAATCCCAAAATTTGGGGAATTCAGGATTTTGGGGACCCCCAAGGACACCAATCCCAAAAATTTGGGAATTCCAAGGGCAAAAATCCCAAAATTTTGGAGAATTCAGAATTTGGGGACTCCAAGGACACAAATCCCAAAATTTTGGGAATTCCAAGGAGAAAAATCCCAAAATTTGGGGACACCAAGGACACCAATCCTAAAAATTTTGGGATCTCCAAGACAAAAATCCTAAAAAAATTTGGGGAATTTTGGATTTTGGGGACCCCCAAGAACACCAATCCCAAAAATTTGGGATCTTCAGGACACCAATCCTAAAAATTTTGGGAATTCGGGATTTTGGGGACCCCAAGGACACCAATCCTAAAAATTTGGAGACTCCAGGAAAGAAAATCCCAAAAATTTGGGAATTCCAAGAACAAAAATCCCAAAAAATTGGGAATTCCAAGGACACCAATCCCAAAAATTTGGGGAATTCAGCATTTGGGATCCCAAATTTTGGGGATTTGTGACACAGACGGGTGACAAATGCGCCACAATTTGGGGTCACCAAATGTCACCCAAAAAATTCTCAGGGTCCCTAAATGTCACCTGGACAGGTCTGGGGATCCCCAAATGTCACCGTCACAATTTGGGGTGACACTGCCATAATTTTGGTGTCCCCTGATGTCACTGTCACAATCTGGGGGTCTCTAATGTCACTGCCACAATTTGGGGGTGACACTGTGACAATGTCACAATTTGGGGACCCCAAATGTCACCGAAAAAGTCTCAGGGTCCCCAAATGTCACCGTCACAATTTGGGGTGACACTGCCACAATTTGGGGGTGACACTCTGTCATTGTCACAATTTGATGTCCCCAAATGTCACCATCACAGCCGGGAGATCCCCAAGTGTCACTGCCACAATTTGGGGTGACACGGTGCCACTGCCACAATTTTGGGGTCTGAAATGACACTATCACAGCCTGGGGGTGACACTGCCACAATTTTCATGTCCCCAAATGTCACTGTCACAACCTGGGGGTGACACTGCCACAATTTGAGAGCCCCCAAATGTCACTGTCACAATTTGGGTGTCCCCACGTGTGACAATCACAATCTGAGAGTGACACTGCCACAATTTTGATGTCCCCAAATACCACTATCACAATTTGTAGGTGACACTATCACAACCTGGCGGTGACAGTGTCACAATTTGGGGGTGACACTGCCACAATTTGGGTGTCCCCAGATGTCACTGTCACAATCTGGGGACCACACTGCCACAATTTGAGGGTGACACTGGGCCATTGTCACAATCTGGGGGTCACAAATGTCACCGTCATAGCCTGGGGGTGACACTGCCACAATTTTTGGGGTCCCCAAATGTCACTGTCACGATTTGTGGGTGACACTGTCACAATTTGGGGGTGACATGTCCACAATTTTGGTGTACCCACAGTGACACTTCCACAATTTTGATGTCCCCAAATGTCACTGTCACAACCTGGGGGAGACACAGTGACAGTATCACAATTTTGGGGTCCCCAAATGTCACAACCTGGGGGTGACACCGCCATGATTTTGATGTCCCCACAGTGACACCGCCAAAAATTTGGTGTCCCCAAACGTCACTGCCACAATCTGGGGGGGACAC